ACAGCTGAATTTGATGACTTGGAAGGGTGAGTGAATCCTTCTTAATGCACTTGCAGCTTGTTTCTCAGCACACTGTCTTACATTATTAAATTAATGCATTTTAATCTGTCTTTTCTGTAATTCTCTGCAAACTATTTATAAAAAAAAATAACTACTCAGCCAATTCTTCGGGCAGTTTCTCATTCTGCAGAGTCACTGCTACTTCACCCTTTCAGACTGCAGCAGCCACAGTAGTCTTTGTTCTGCTCTACAACTACACTGAGCTCAGCGCAGTCGCACCAGTCGTTTCTTCACCTGATGCAGGTTCTGGTTGGTGATGCGCAAAACAAGAAACTGTGAAGAAGCAGCTACCGTACGTGCTGCAACAGCAAACCGGCCAGTGAATCTGGCCTCCATCCCCATAGCTATCAACTTTGATACGTTACCTAGTAAAAGTAATGTTCTGTCCCTCTATCGACAGTTACTGTAAAGTGGGTGAATTTACTTATGACGCTGGAGTGCAGCCACTTTGATCTGACACGGCTCCTGACTTGGGAACTTTAGCCAATCGTTCTGTTTGAGGCTTGAACTGGACCTCTCCACTGTGTTTGCACCTTCTTCAGTATTTTTAATGGCATTTTAAAATAGCTTCTGTATGAAACAGAGCCTCAGTCTTCGTGAATGAAAGTCTAGTGTTAGCACTAATTAGCACATGTGTTTGTGTTTCACAGCTTGCTAACAACTTAATACTGTACCACATCATCCAAATATGGTCCCTTCTGGTTTTAGAAAACTAACATGCTAACCAAGACATTATTATTTACACTTAAACTACAGTTACTGTGCAGTCCTTTACTCTGTTTAGCCAAAGACCTGTGCAAACTAACACCAGAGCAGAACCTGGCATAAGACGAATTGAGGACAAATCTGAAGTTTGAAAAAAGTATCAAATGTCCTCCTGTCATCGAGCTTCACATGGCCTAATTAGATTACTATGGGTCATGTGACTGTGGCGATTTATGTACTAATATTTATTTTAAACTGAATCATTTAGGATCAAAGAGATTCCTGTAGACTTTCAGCTGTGTCCCATCTACACGGAGGTCTATCGTTCCCAGGCTGGACTCCTTGTTTTGTATGTCACACCCTTGGCATGCTTCTGGTACAGACTTTACATAGAGGTTTCATCTTTACTGATGCCACGGTGTCTGACCTCTGTGAGTACCACTTTAGTACAACAACAGGAGTGTCGTATATTTTTATATTTAAAAAAAGTCTATTAGGAAACATTTAGATAGTTACTATGGTAGCAAGAGCACGTTTACATTTTTCGTGATCTTAAACGTATCCTGTGCACGAGGATAAGAAAGAAAACTACAAATACTCACAGAAAACATGTTGAATGTCATCATGCCAAAACTAGCATCTGTCCGTTTCTTTATATTCCCTCTGATTTCCTCTTAGCTTCATTTCAGCACACCCCCACCCCTTCCTCTCTCTGCATGCAGCTGTGAAAATAATGCTTTCAGATGGGTTTTGACTCTGGGCGACAGGTCAGTTTCCCTGGCTTCCTGACATCGTACACCACCAAAAACCAGATGGATGGAGGTGGAAGGAAAGAACAGAGAAACACAGAGCAGTGTTTAAAAAAAACACAGAAGAAAAACACACAGGAGACACACACACACAATGAAGAGAGGAGGAGTGGGAGACCCAGAGATATCCAAGATTTTAGCTCCCACCATCTGGTTTGAGCCTTAGGAATAAGAACTTGATTACATGACTTTTCCACTAAAAACACAGTCAATGGCTGTTTCTGGGTCCAAACTCCTCTTAAGTTCCCAAACTCAAACACTGCTGAGTCAAAAACCGTCCAAATGATCAGTGTGGCTGCTCTAAAAGGTGTGACAATCCAGCTGAACACACAAGCATCCATGAAAAACAGGATTTAAGAAGTTTAACAGCGTTACAACTTAGAAACTAGCGATCTAACTCTGTGCTATCTAAAGATGATGGACGTTTTCTGACTGAGGGAGTTCTGAAAAACTAAAACATACAGCTCTGCTATCACTGGATATAAATAAAGACACAACCACACAGCGGCCTGATTTGTAGGGTTACTGAAGTTGGCTAGCTGGCATGTAATGGTGCGCCACATGGTGGTTAGCTAGAGAGCTATGGTTAGGATAATACACACACATTAGCACAGTGAAGCTGGTGCATGAATATTGACTTTGTTCCCCTCAATACAAGTGAACGTGAGGGTCTCAGACGGGCAGAGACAGGCGAGCTTCTACAACAAAAACTTTCTTTTGAAGGAAAACTTTTTTGGACCTGTACAGCTGAGCATGCTGAAATCCCACTGTGTCTTTTAATCACTGCTTCCTTTGTTATATTATCGTTATCTTGAAGCAGGTTATCTCTGAAGCAGGTTACTCAAACATCTTTGTCGCTAAACTTAAAAGGACACGGCAACTATGAAACAAGCTGAATACACAGACTTGAAGAAAGGCACACAAATATTTGGCACATTAACTTGCAGACTTGTGAGGGTGCTGCCTAAAATTAGAAACAGGTTGAAAATCAGCCTTTGATTTATTTTTCTACTGCGGCACAATCAGACGAGGGAAATGGCTGCTGAAAGGGAGATACACTGAAGTGAAAAGGAAAGCGCAAGAATGAGGTGCTGCTGCTCTTTTCCTCATGCTGAGTTCATCACCTTAAAATAGAACAATGTCAACTCTTGGATTCTATCCCTATGTTACGGTGACACTTCCAGGGTTTCCCTGTGCACTACAGAAACCGTTAGTTATACCTACATGTTCTCTTTGCAGAGGGACAGAAGTCCTTGATCTCAAATTGAAGACTTGCTTTCCTTTTTTGGTGGTGACCATGAGGACACTGCTTACAGAGGGGATGTTTTCCTGCATTAGCCTAAACACATAGGTCACTTGCACAGCCTAATGGGTTAAACCAACCAAAGCTCTAGCCTGGGGTTTGCCTTGATCAAACTGGGCCTGTGGCAGTGACTTTGACTGATTGCTGTTACTGCATGCTTGCCACGTCATCTGTGCTGTTGCCTTCACAGTATTATATCCTTGTGTGCCGTTCTTTATGGCTTTAACATATAGATAACATTAACTCTATATGAAAATGAGTTACAGCCAAATAAAAGCATAAGGAAAAAAACAGATAGGAAAATAGATGTGAAAAGTAAGCAATGTCCATAAAAATGGATATTCACAACACTGCTGCAGTCTGTGTAGGGACATCACAACAGCAAACATGTAATAGTCAGTACCAGTACCACACTGTTTAAGCTCTTTTACTAAAAAGCCGTGAATCAGTCACATGCTGGTGCTGACTGTGGAGGAGGCAGTAGTGTTAAACGCTATTAGATACATTATGTTACCTTTAGCATTTCTACAACATTAGCAACTGCAAACGCTTTAAGCTGTGGCACAAAGCTGATTCCAAAATGGTAACATGCATCTGAGGATACCAACACAAAGTCCTTCTATACACATTTCTGACTACCTGTTATCAATGAGTCGAGGCAGAGCTGCTGTGGCAGCTGACTGACACAACGTGCAAAGGAGAGTCTGAAACTTCTGTCCCGTTTCTTCTCATTTAATGACTTTCAGTAATTGTTCATCTGAGATGTTGTCCTCCACTTTAGATATGCTGAATGTTCCACCAACAGCTTTTTGGAATCATCTTGTGGGAGCAAAAATACAATTTTATGCCTGTTAAACTGTTACTGCTGGCATTTCTTTAGCAAGTTAAAAGTAAAAATGGGGTCTAAGTACACAACTTTTTTAACAACAAGTTGTCTGTTATGTGTAGACACAACCTTATTTATTTCAGATCGTGGAGAGATGCAAAAAGATAGTAACACTGGCCACATTATCTGTGTAGGAGATAACAGTCTCTTTGTGGCGATGCATAAGCATATAGCAGACTGTAATAAATGTGTGACTAAACAAAATTACACTGAATTTCAAACCAGCAACTGGAAAAGAGCATGTGTAATGGACCGCATGCTGATGTAAAGGCTTTTTCTCAGCAGGATTGGGATAAGTTATTGTCCAAGTAAAATGAAAATTATCACTCTAGCTACAATTTGAACAGGCGAATGTGGTTTGTACACTTGGCTATACAATTTTCCTTTTGTTCAAATGAATCTAAAATTAGAAGGAGTGTGTGTGCATGTAATTATTGGTCTAAGACAATAACACACCTTCTTTCTGTACTTTCAGCACCGTCAGCCATGACTGTTCATTATACAGTAACAGGCTGTACTAGTTAAAAGTGAGGAGCATTTATTCTCTCCCCAGAGGGCTTTTGGTGTTCCTATCCGCCATTACCCTGTGGACGTAGCAGACACAGGGAGGAGCAGACGGGAAGAAAGGAATTATGTCGACTCCCAAGTTACTGTTTTCCTTACCAACATGTCTCTCATGCTCCCAACACATTAAACACCTGCTTTAATCATACGTAATTTCAACGTAATATCCAGTGATATGCCATTGGATATTTAATAACTATCCAGTAACCAAATCCGTCCCCCACTTATAGCGGCGCACTTCTTCATGCGTCTTGACAACATTGTGGATAACAGGTTGAACCGGGCAGTGCTGGTTAGTTATATCTCCAGGCTGACAGTTGTACCTGACACTCCTTCACAGTGGAACATGTACAGGCTTGTAAAGTTCCACTTCACAATAGTCACAGTTCCTTAGGACTGACTCACCAGCACCACGGATGGCTATGACTCTGTTAGCATTAGCTTCAGACAAGATTACATACCTTGCGTCCCCACAACACTAGATTTCATAAACAGAACAACTTTGTAGCTCTGCGTGGACGTAAGCGATGTTGTTTTAGAGCGAATGTACAAGTTTAAATGACTCGAGCCTCCACTTAGCTTAAGCACGACAACGGGTTAGCCAAGCAGGCCAGGCAAACAGCGGCTGCTCATAAAACGAGGAAAGTTCTCCTTGAGCGGTCTCTGTACTTACACAACGCATCTCGAAATCATCCAGGACACCATGTCTTCTGTATGTGTAGGTCTGTTTCAGCAGTAGAACAGAGCCAATAATAATGTTAAACGCCGATCCCGCACCGCCGTGAACTTTTCAGCCCAAACTTCGGTAAACAGAAACAGCTAGCTAATCTCGTCGTACATCAGCTAGCCAACACACCAGGAACACCTCACTGCAGTGTCCTTGGAGTCATAGCTACACGACGAAGCGCGTATCCTAAATATTCCTGCTGTAGTCGCTCCCTCCCATCAGATTTCCTCCTTCCTTCTCTGCTTCGCTGCTCAGTTCCTGGCACAAGAAAGGTGCTGTCGTCATTAGGGAAAATAAACACCCTCCCTCCGCATATGCTATTGGCCAGTGCAGTCTGTTTACGACGAACCTGAAATTGTAATTGGCTGGCCACGTTTGGCTAGCCAATCACATCCATTTGGTTAAGCAAGTGGCATTTTAAACTCAGTTACTGTGCTCCGATTGGTCTGCTGTCGATTCGTGGCGAGCTCTAGCCAACCACGAGGGAAATATTTTTCAGAGCATGAAAACGGCAGGTGCGCGCCCTTTGACCTCCACCTTACGTTCAGTCTTCATGTCTGTAGCTGTTATTATACAAAATACATTTTGAATAACCTAAAAGTGAAAGCACGATTTTTTAAAATAAACAATGCCTTTAATCGCATAAACGTTGGAAAGCAAAGGGTTAGGTGGTTACTGTACATCAGGGTAAGTAATATTGAAGCATCTCATAAAGTCCAATGGGCCAAATAAAAAGTGTCTGTTTCTTGTTGTTATGTAATGGTCAATAAGCACTAGTGACCTGACTCCATAGGCACTCGTGCATGCCATAACAGATCATCAGCTGTTCTTTTCTTTCTTCAGTCTTTTTGGTTCACCTGGTACCAAATTCATCTTGGTCTCATCTGTCCAAAAATATTTTACAGAACTGTGCAAGCTCTGTTTTCTGGCAAAGCCTAATCTGCCCTTCCCATTCTTGAGTTTAACCAGCGGTTTGCACTTTGTTGTGAAACCCTCTGTGTTTACATTCATGACGGCTTCTGAAGTCATTTTCTTAACCACAGACAGAATTCCACACGTTAGCTGTGTTTCATCATCTTTGTGGTTACATTCATTGTTGATTTGGCCTTTTTTTTAGTGATGGCCTTCTTCACTTGCACTGATATCTATGTGGACCTCATATTGAGAGTTCCAGTAAACAGCCTCCAAATGCAAGTTCAACATTTGAATCAACCCCAGATTTTTTTAATCTGCTTAATTGGTCGTGGAATAAGAAAGAACAGCCATCCTCAACCATGAAACTGCTTTTCGGTCAAATGTCCAATTACTTTTGATCACCTGAAAATGGAGACTATGTACAAAAACACTTTTGCCATCCCTTTGAATTAAATCTGCAATTCTTGATTGTTTGATTTAAACTCTACCGTGGTAGTGTACGGAGGCAATATAACACAAACTGTGCCATCGTGTAAATACTCACGGACCTAACTGTAATCAGTACACACAAACCCCATCTGTCAGCTTTCAGAATGGCGCTTCTTTGTGTGTGTCTGCTTTAGGTAATAATAATAATTTAGGTAATAATAACAGCATCTGAGCTTGTACAATTGCAGCAATGAGCTTGTGCCTTTCTGTATCAGGATATTTGTAAACCCATGCAGACATGTTAGTGTATTGTGCAGGTATGTGCAGGCATGTGGGTAAGACTGGGAGGGGGGGTCTGGTTTTATAGCTACTTGTTATTCATGAAGGCGGCTGCTACAGCGTGTAGCTCAGCGAGGAGATTCCCAGAGGAGCCTGTCTGGTCACACAATCCGTCTGGGAAAGCATCAGAGGCTCAGGGCTGAACAGAAAACACCTCCTCACCCTCAGCTGCTCACTGGTCTAATGTCATAGAGAGCAACAACATTAATTAGAAACATACACATTTGCAGACTAACCAAACAGAACAAATATGCTGTATTCTGAAGATCAGCCTCTGGTAAAAGGCAATTCCCATTACGCAAGGTGTTTGGGTCTTTCTTTGTGAGTACACTGCAGTGGTGGCGGTTGAATTTTTACTTCTGCATCCCAGTAATTACACCAGGCAACTTTAAAATGAAATTAAAGCAACAATCTCTCTTTGTCCCAATCATTCAACTGAAAGAAGTCAAAATAGAGTCATAGACATCCATAATACATATTGTTTAGTGTGTGTGTTTTTATTCAGAGTGTGAAGCCTGTAAAAATGAGTCAGGAAATATTAGCAGAGCTTTGCTGCTCAGATCAAAGTGTAAATTTCACTTTATCATTACAATAGTGACTGCCAGCTGTAAGTGTTTATTCATCACATTTTCTCGGTCTTAGTACTAATCTGGCCTGAACACACCCTCAACCAGCCATCGTGGCCCCCAATATACAGGAGATTGCATCAATCTCATTGATAATAATTAGAAATTATACTTTAATTGTGTTTAATCTTTTAATGGCTGTGGGGTAGAAACTCTTTTTTTAGCCTATTTGCCCTTGATTTTATTGTCCTGTATTGTCTGCCTGATGGCAGCAATTTAAAAGATCTTGATATGTGTGTGATGGGTCACACAAAATTTGGGGCCTTTCCTGAAACAGTGGGTATTGTGAAGTTTCTCCAGAGAGGGCAAACTGACTTTTCTCTGGGCAACTCTGATAACCTGCTGAAGTGCTTTGTGCCGCTGTGCAGCTGGAAAACCACACACAGAGGCGATGCGTCAGTAATCTTTCTATTGAGCAGCGATATCAGGATACCAGCAGTTTGAGGTGGATGTTGTTGGGGTTTTTGTTTTTGTTATCACACTCAGGAAATGAAGTCTTTGCTGGGCCTTATTCACCACCTCAGCTGTGTTAACATCACCGGTCAAGTCCGCCGTGATGTGGACTCCCAAAAACCAGGAAACTGAAACCTTCTCCATACACTTCCTGTTAACGAGTAATGGCTGAGTAACCTTTCCTTCTTCCTGAAGTCCACGATGAGCTCCAATGTCTTTGGTGAATTAAGAAGGAAGTTGTTGTCTCTGCATGACACCATCACTGATTCCAAGTCAATCCTGTAGGTGCACTGATCTTCCCCAAAGATGATCGTGGACATTTTTTATTACAGTTTTTCTCGATTGGTTTGGCCCATTTCTTGAAACCGAGATGACTTTCTCAAAATAACATGGACAAATCTCCAAACCACCTTGCAATTGTTCACAACAGAATGTCATTTTTCATTGGTTTCATCAAATTGCAAATGCTTTAGTCTCAAGTGACTCTGTGCTTCTTTTCAAATGATTATGTACAAGTAGCTACAGTTAGCACAATGAGCCCACATTTAGCACATTTTCCAAATAAATAGGCGATCTAAACTGATTAGTTGATTTTTCAGTGAAATGGTTACTCACTCCAAAACATATCAGCATGGTTTCATTGTGTAAGTCATCATATGCACAATTGTCTGTTCAACTGTCAAAATGAGTCAAAGATATGATACCATGAAAGTATGTCTTGGAACATTTGATAAAGTTATGACAGTACTTGACAATCAATCAGGTGAAATTAGAACTAA